CTCAGCAAGCAAGCAAGCGTGCAAGCAAGTGCGCAAGCGCGCAAGCAAGCGTGCAAGCAAGCACCCAGGCATAGGCATAGGCGTAGGCGTAGGATTTAGGGGGTGCATAGGCATAGGCATAGGCATAGGAATTGGGGGGGCGTAGGAACTAGGGGGACAGCGGATCAATATGGGTTTGAGCTAGGACTCCGATAGGGCAAGCCTATTATTTGGAGAAACGTGTTCTTAGAATAGAACATAAGCCCGATGTGTCAAAACAGGACAGTCTCAGCAATGTTCCAAGAACATTTCGTGCAAACTACAAGAGGCGTTTAGAACGTTCTTTGGTGGGCCTATCGGCAAACCAAGACGTCTGGTCACTGCTTGACTGCTCAATGTTCAACGATCGAGAATATGAGGATCGAGGTTTCGAGCAACTCTCCGGCGGCAGATCACGGCGTTAATGGTCAATCTTCGGTGTTGTCGTCGTCGTCGTTGGTTGTCGGTGTCGTCGTCGGTGCGTCGTCGTCGTCGTCGTCGCCGCCGCCGCCGCCGCCGTCGCCGTCGTCGTCGTCGCCGCCGCCGCCGCCGTCGTCGTCGTCGTCGTCGTCGTCGTCGTCGTCGTCGTCGTCGTCGTCGTCGTCGTCGTCGTCGTCGTCGTTGTCGTCGTCGTCGTCGTCGTCGTCGTCGTCGTCGTCGTCGTCGTCGTCGTCGACATCGTCGTCGTCGTCGTCGTCGACATCGTCGTCATCGTCGTCGTCGATCGAGGGTCGAGGGGCGCCCTCGTACTGCCCCGGCAGGATCCGCAAGGAATTCTTGCGTGAAGGCGCGCTGAGACAGGTCTGGGGGCCGTCGTCGTCGTTGTCGTTGTTGTCGTCTTCGTCCTCGTCGTCGTCATCGTCGTCGTCATCGTCGTTGTCATCCTCAACGTCGTCGTTGTCGTCGGCTCCTGGCGGTCTTCAGAAATTTTCTCCGTGTCACAGCTGCCTTTCGAATACTCCAGATTTCGTAATAAAAGGGAGGGGGTCTGGACCCTCCAAGACAAGCCATTTCAAACCTCCCCCGTGGGAGAACCCTCCAAAACATCGTCCCCAGACCCCCCCAGGCCCTCCAAGATAGCCTAGAAGAGACCCCCCCCCGAAATGAGACCCCCCTCCCTTTATTACGAAATCTGGAGTAGACCGTGGGATACTTCCGGAAGGTGGGAGGAAACGGAGCAGCAGCAGCAGCCCGAGGAAGAAGACTCGGCACTGCGCGCGGTCTGTGCCGATCTCTGCCCACGCGTGCACGCGTGCCTGCAGTGCCCCACCTCGAACGATCACCGCACACGTGCGATGAGGTCGTGAGTAGCGCGCACCGCACAGCCTGACGTACCACAGCCCGAGGAGGAGGAGGAGGAGGAGGAGGAGGAGGAGGAGGACGATGAGGAGCTTCAGGAGGAGGGCCATCGGGCGTCCGAGCCGCGGCCCCCCCCGACGGCGGACCGCTGCCCCCGCACGCGCCCCCTGGGTGCCGCGCACGCCCGCGCGAGCGCCATCTCCAAGGGGGTTGTGGCCTTGGCCCGCTGGCCGCCGCAAGCTGGGCGGGCGCCTCAGCCATGATGAGCCCGCGGTCTCGTCCCGGTGCGCTCTCTTCGCGTGCGCGGCCGAGCAGTGATACCAGCACCGTGCCGGTCGGAAGAAGTGGGTGGACAGACGGAGCAGGACGGCGTCGGAGGCAGTTTGGGCCTCTGCCCACCCCCTGAAGAGGAGGGACTCGGGCAAACCGCCCGATCCTGGAAGCAGGAGGGCGCCCAAAGCAGACGGGGATCTGGGGATCCCGAACCTTGCCGTCGCTCGGACGTCCATTTCCCGTGCATTTGTCGGTTTCGTGTGTTTTTTTTGTTGGTTGCTCGGTGGTCCAGGATGGTCCTCGAGGATTCTCGCCGAGAAAAAATGCACACGCCCGAGCGATGCCGAGAAAAACTGCTGCCAACGACCGGCGCGCAGCCGTTTCTGGGCACGGGAGGCCCGCCTCGCCCAGCAGGGCCAAACGGAAGGCGGCCCCACGGGCCCCAGACGTCAGACGACAGGAGCAGAACCAGCGCCATAGACAGACTGCGGGCGGAGCTGCAAGAAGAGTGGAGGGACTGGTGGAGCCATCAGGAACTCGCCATCGCTCGGACGTCCATTTCCCGTGCACTCTTCGGTTTCGTGCGTTTTTTTTGCTCGATGGTCCAGGATCGTCCTCAATGGTGCTCGCCGGAAAAATGCACATGTCCGAGCGATGCCAAGGACAGGAGCAGAACCAGCGCATAGACAGACTGCAGGCGGAGCTGCAAGAGTGGGGGAGATGGTGGAGCCATCAGGAACTGCCGCTCAAAGAGGTGCAACATCGGCAGCAGTGGACGCACCAGGAGCAGCAGCGGCGGCAGCAAGGGCGGCAGCAAGGGCCAGTTCTGGGGACAGCACTGGGCGCTGGACGTGTACGAAGACACACGTCAGAACCACAGCGCGCGAGAAGCGACCACCGAAGTGGCACCAAGCGCAGGGACTGTGGCAGTCATGTGCACGGCATCAGCTGGAGGCCCGCAGTGGTGCATTCAGATAGGGGCGGCAACGGCGGAGGGAGGGGAAGCCAAGCCCGGCCCGCCCCACGACCCCCTCCGCAAGGAGGGGACCAGGGTGGATTTGAAAGACGGCAGTGGCAGTGGCAGGCAGTGGCTGCCAACAGTGTCGGTGCCTTGCGGGCGAGATGGGGTGGCAATGGCTGTGCGAGATGGGGCGGTAGTGGCTGTGCGAGAGAAAACGGCAGTGGCAGCTCAGGCATCCGGCGACAAAGGCGGCAGTGGCAGCCAGAGCAGCGTGCGAGAAGGGGCGACAGTGACAGGCCGTGGTAGCAGCGAGGGTGGCACGGAGAAGCACGAGCCCGAGGCCATCAGCTACGAGGGTGGTAGAACGAAGCACGAGCCCGAGTCGGGGAGACGTAAGACTCGGGTTCGGGGAACTCGGGTTGGCCTGGCGGGTCCGTCAGAAAAATGACGACACCCACTCTGAAATTTGACGCGAGCTGACGGTGCAGACCTCCCAGGAAACCTGGACCGTCGAAATCCAGGGCGGGCTCGTCGAGAAGCGTAGGCGAACCCGAGTTTGGGCGTACTCGAGTCTTACGCTTGGCCGACCTGGGCAATCAACTACAACTGTGGGGCCGCGAGGCACGAGCCCGACGTCGTCAACTACAATGTTGCGGCCGGTCCCCTCGTGCGAGAAGGGCCGGCAGTGGTGCGGGAAGGGCCAGTGGTGCGAGAAGGGCTGGCAGTGGTGTGAGAGGGCCGGCAGGTGGGGTGCGAGAAGGGCCAGCAGTGGCAGCAGCGTCAGCAGGCAGAGGTGGCGGCGCGAAGCACAAGAGACGCAACGAGAACCACGGGCCTAACGCCAGCAGCTACGAGGGACGTGCATATAGGGACGGGCCAGACGCCATCAGCTACGTAAGTGGAAGCACGGACCGTACGCCACATACTAACCAAGACGTCCATGTGCTGCCCGACATGGCGCACAACCGGTTCAAAACAGGGCGGGTCAGGCAGGGGTGGCTACCAACCGCAAACCCGGTTGTCAGCAGCTACAAGGGTAGCAGCTCGAAGTGCGACCCCGACGTCATCACCTACGAGGGCGGTGACGCGCATCACGAGCCTGACGCCTTCTGCCACGAGGGCGGCGCTGTGAAGCACGAGCCCGATAATTACCATCAGTTACGAAAGTGGTACAGCGAAGCGCGAGACCGACGTCATCAACTACAATACGAGGTCTGTGTCGCGAAGCGCAAACCCGACGTTGCAACCTACGAGGGAGGTGACGCGAAGCACGAGCCCAACGCCGTGAGCTACGAGGGTGGTGTCGTGAAGCACGAGCCCGATGCCAGCAGCTACGACGGCGGCGCAGAGAAGCACGACCCGATGCCGTCACCATCCGAACTTCATCAGCTACAAGCTCGGACCGGCGCAGCAGGCAATGGAGCGTGCAGTGGGGGCCGAATGCCGCATCAGCTACAGGCTCGGTCTGTGGCGTGCGAGGAGGAGTCGGAGGTGGCGGCCTAGGGAACGGAGATAACCAGGTCTACGTCGGCAACAGATGATGCTCGATTTCGGAAACCCTGAACCCAAAAACGTTTTCATCTCTTGGGGGTGCATCTTTTACTTCCGCTGCCTTCCGCCGCCCTTCCGCCGGATTCCGCCCGCAGAGGCGGCCTCGTTTTACTCCCGCTGACCTTTCGCCGCCCTTCCGCGGCCTTCCGCCGAGGAAGAGATGACAGCTCCCTCGATCCTCGAAAGCTCGAAAGCAAGGCCCTTCCTGCAACGCCTCCTATCATACGATGCCGAATGGCGCGACCTGAAGGACCACATGCAACAGGCGGGCACCGTGAACTGCTGCGGAGTGCTCACCGAGCATGACACCATCTGCGGCAGATCGCTGCGCACGGGACAAGTTGGACACTCCGCCGGCGAGGAGGCCCAGCGGACCATCGACACCATGGCGGATACGGATCTCATGGGCCAGAGGATCCGAATCAACTTAGGGGAACAAGCAATGACATAAACATGAGAAGCTCAGAATTCCGCGCGGATTCCTCGGATCGGCACTGGGACCCCCTTGGCGGAGGGAGGGAAGTCCAGCGCCGATCCGAGAACTCCGCACGGACCTCCGAATATTTATGTTTCTGTCATTGTTGGTTCCCCTACAAATGGTGGCAGAGACCGCACCTGTAGATACAAATCGATGCTACATGCGACCGTGTCGGCGAGAGCTGGCTTGCAGGAACTACATTACTTGCACTACGCTGTGGACTAGCGCGTGCGGGGAACGACAGAAGTGGGGGGGAGGAAGTGGTGTCGGTAATCGGCTGGAAATGTAGCGGCGCTCGTGCTTCGCGAACGATTTGCCCATCTGTGGATATCCGGGAATGCCGTCATAGCAGTGTGGAAGGAACATCAAGGATCAAGGAGGAGGAGGAGGAGGAAAGGGAGGAGGAGGAGGAGGAGGAGGAGGAGGAGGAGGAGGAGGAGGGAGGAGGATGAAGGGCAGGAGGATGAGGACGACGACGACTCTCTGGCGCTCCGCTGGCTAGCTAGGCCCCGCGACCAACGGTGCAGGCAAGGCGTACTGGGTGCACAGGCAGACGAGCTGCCAGAGCAGGAAGGCGTCCTCCGGGGGCTTGGCGGGTGTGTGAGGGGCTGAGGGGCGGGCCTTCTCGGAAGGCTCGGAAGTTCCCCGGCCTTCTGAGAAGCTTTCGAGGCCTTCCCCGGAGACACAGAACACCTCTCAGAAGGCCGGAGCCCTTCCGAGAAGCCCCGCCGCCTTCCCTCTTCTTCTCGCTTCCCCCCCTCGCTCGCCGCCGAGAGGGGGAGGGAGAGGAGGGCGTCTGACCTCGGAGGCATCAATCGTCCGGTGCCCTCCTCCCTCCGCTTCGCTCGGCCCTGCCTCCCCCCCTGGATTGGAGGCCCCCCAGATGGGCACCAGGCAGATGGGACCAACGGGGACGAAACAGGCTTCACATCGAGCTGCATCGCTGATGCCTCGGCCATGCGGCGCGATTCCACCTAGGCGACGAGTCACGCGAGATGACATGGCGACCTTCCGCGGTGGCTTACGCGGGCCGCCAGCGCGGCACGCCGCGTTGGAAACGCGAGTGCCTACGCGCGCCCTTCCACGGGCAGCTTGCGCGCGAATGTCGGCGCCGTCGACCCTGCTCTTCTGCGTCGCTCATCCCCAGACCCCCGTCGTAATGTTTTTTTCATTACGTCGACCCCCAGAGGTCCCGACTCTTTGCCCACGACCGGCTTTGCATCCCGAATCGTTTTTTGACGCTCCCGAGGCCCGATGAGGGCCCCCGGAGGCCGAAAATCAGGAAAAACCTCCCGTCATGATTTTTTCTTGTTTCGAGGGGGTCTGGGCATTTGGAATGCCCAGACGGATACTCTCCGAGTCTTCCTGCGTGCAGCGTGCAGCGAGGCCAGCGGGCCTCGCCGACGAGGCTCTGCCACCCGGCCCTCGGCAGGCACTGGCCAAGGAGGGCTCCCAAATGGGGTCCGAGCAGGTGGGGTCGGAGGATCGCGCCGCATCGCCGATGCATCGCCGATGCATCGGCGACGTGGGCGATACCTCGCCGATGCCGGCGTGGAGAAGATCGGGCTCCACACCTCGCGCCGCATCGTCGATGCATCGGCGATGCGGCGCGATCCTCCGACCCCACTTGGGAGGCGCAGGCTGGAACGAAGGGCGGCTCTGTCGGCGGGGGGTCGGAACACAAGCAGTGGAGCCATGCTCCACGAGAGAAGTCAGCGCCGCCGTATGCCGAATCTCCGCGGTCGGCTGGGAGGAGGGGGTGAGAGAGTCTTAAGGCGTTCAGGGGGGGGGGCTGGACAAGGTTATAGAGGGACTTTCGTGGGCTGTGATGGTATCTGGGGGGCTCCAGCGGGTCTTGGGGGAAGGAGGGGGGAGGGATGGGGGAAGGGAGAGGGATGAGAAGGACGCACCTTTCAGAAGATGATGCCGAGTTTCTTGAATAGTTTAAGCATCCAGCTCTCTGGAGGGCTCAAAACGAGGTCGGACAAGGGATGATGAGGAACATGTGTGGATCGACAGCATCATCTGCCCCCTATCTCCTGCCCGTGTTTCTGTTGTTGTTCCTTTTGTTTCTGTTCGCTTTCCAACACCTCCCTGTGCGTCCATCACCCTTTTCTCGTCCTTCTCCGTTCTCCCTTCCCCATACCCCCATTTCCTCCCGATTCCCATTTCCCTTTCTCTACCTCGTGTTTCTCTTCCTTTTCTCGTGTCCTTCTACATCATATCCCAAGTCGCTCTGTATGAATGCTTCCCCCCTCTCTCTCTCTCTCCAAATGCTGGCTGTACGTTTCCTCGCCTGTTCCATATATGTATGTTTTCGCACACAGCGCAAAACAGCACATATGTTCGATTCCGTGTAATTCCAACCATAACGCTCCCAGCCCTTCCGAAGGTGTGGTCTGGCTGCAACGGTGTGTGTGTGTGTGTGTGTGTGTGTGTGTGTGTGTGTGTGTGTGTGGGGTGGGGGAGGCGAAGCGTGCCTCTGAGGGTCGAAAATGAACAACAAAACAAACGTCGTCTCGCACCTTTCGTGGCACTGCAGGCCCTGTTGTGCGGTACAACGCAGATGCCTGCGCCCCACTGCCGGGAAATTGTGATGGTGAGGGGGCCGAGGCATCACTGCCTCCTTGGGTCGACCCACCCGTACACCAACCCCATCTGCCTCCACTCGTCATCGCTCGGACGTCCAGTCCATTCCCCGTGCATTGTTCGGTTTCGTGCGTGTTTTTTCGCAATGTTACCCAACAAGTTTCTCGATGGTCGTCCTCGCCGCACACACAAAAAACACGTCCGAGCGATCCCAAATCCAAAGGGACGATACACACAAGGCACTTGCGGTCGTTGGCGCTGGCCTCGGCACGCCTGCGCGTACAGTGTGAGACCCTCCGCGAAGGTTGCAGAACAGACATCAACACAGGCTGCTCAGGCAATGGATTATGCTGGATTCTGCTGCGGTCCCACACACGTGGGCAAAACTAGTCACTCTCACCACTCGTGTCAGCGCCGAGCGATTCGTGCACACAAGACCCCCCTCCCAGGTCTCCTCTCAGTCGCTCGGCATCATCACTCCTCGCACGCTTCTGCTAACTCGCACGCTGCTGCTCAGGGAACACAGACCCCCGACGTAATGTTTTTTTCGTTATGTCGACTCCCAGAGCTCCCCGACCCTTTCCCCATGACCGGCTTTGCATCCTGAGTCGTTTTTGACGCTCCCGAGGTCCTGTGAGGGCCCCCGGAGGCCGAAAATTAGGAAAAACCTCCAGTCATGATTTGTTCATGTCTCGAGGGGGTCTGAAGGGCACGCCGCTGCTCAGGAAATGGAGGGTGGCACAAATGCGGATGGCGAGGGAAGTGCGAATGTGCGTCCACATCGCACTTTGCAAGTCGTCCGTGGATCGCGAGCCGGGAAAGCTCCCAGCTCCGCTGCCAACCCAAATTGCAGGGGCTGGGGACGAGAAGTGAAGCATGGCGATCATACGATGTAATCGGGCCTTTTCCGTCTCAATCAAAGATGCGCTCGCGCCGGAGCTCGAGCCCAGATAGCAGCGGGGCATCCTGCTCGAAGGAGGAGGAGGAGGAGAAGGAGGAGGAGGAGGAGGAGGAGTAGGAGGAGGAGGCAGAGGAGGAGGAGGAGGGAGGAGGAGGAGGAGGAGGAGGAGGAGGAGGAGGAAGGGATGGGGACGTGAAGAGAACGCAAGAGGCGGAGAAGGAAGAGGAGGGGGAGGAGGGGGGAGGATGGGAGGAGTGGGGGGGGAGGGCAAGGCGGAGGAGGGGAAGCGATCAGGAGGGGAAGGGGGGAGGAGGAAGGCGGAAGGTTGAGGATCATGCTGGTGAGGAGTGGAACGACGGATCCCCATCCCCCTCCTCCTCCTTTTCCCTCCTCCCCCTCCTCCTCCCCCTCCTCCTCCCCACCTCCTCCACCTCCTCCTCCTTCCTCCCTCCTCCCCCCTCCTCCCCCTCCTCCTCCTCCTCCCCTCCTCCTCCTCCTCCTCCTCCTCCTCTCTCCTCCTCCTCCTCCCTCTTCTCTTCTCCTTCTTCCTCCTCCTCCTCCTCCTCCTCCTCGGACGCGGATCCTGCTGGAGGTCGCCTACCTCGCCGCTGTACAGGAAGTTCACGACGGCGTCCAGGACCTGGCTGGCCCCGCCCACGACGACGGGGAGGAGGCTGGGCAAGGCAAAACCCCCAAGGCGGCCCCCCCCCACGCCTCCTGGGGGCCCAAGAGACCTCCGTGCGCCTCCTGACCTCTTCTGGGAGGAGGAGGAGGAGGAGGAGGAGGAGGAGGAGGAGGAGGAGGAGGAGGCGGAGGAAGTAGGCGGAGACGCGGAGGAGGAGGAGGAGGATGAGGCAGGAGGAGGAGGAGGAAGGAGGAGGGAGAATGGAGGAGGAGGAGGAGGAAGGAGGAGGGGAGGGAGAAAGAGGAGGAGGAGGAGGACGGGGAGGAAGAGTGAGGAGGAGGGAGGGAGGAGGAGGAGGAGGAGGAGGAGGAGGAGGAGGGGGAGGAGGAGACTGAGGAGGAGGGGGACGAGGAAGAGGAGGAGGAGAGGGAGGAGGCGCGACCAGCCTGCAGGAGTTCTCCGAGAAACCGAACAAACACTGGAAACATGAACCCCCTAGCCACTTAAGGCGGGAGGGGGAGGCGAAGCCTCATAAAGTAAAGCCGAACGAGTTCAGGCGCGGGGGGGGGGGAGCGGGGCCCCCGTCTTGGGGTGAAAACCCCGTTCCACCAGGTCGCCTTCCTCTTCTGGTTGGCCCTGGTGGCGGGATTGGAAGACGGCCCCACACACTTCGAACTCAGATTCGAACGTCCGCTCCACCCCTCCTCCCCCGACGACGAGGCCCAACACTGGGTGCAGCAGACCATGGCCCCGTGGGTGACTAAAACGTGTTTTAGCTCCCTGAAAGCCTCGAGCCCGTCTGGTGGCCCCCCTGGCGGCGCAGGCACGGACCCCAGGATCTCCTCAACCGCCGCCAAGGCCTCGGACACGCACGGACCCGTAACAGGACCCCTGAAATCGTGGACCACCAGACCGGGCTTCGAAAAAAAAACGCGCGGCCCACGCCTTGGTGGGCAGCGGCTTGCATTCGCCATTCAAAAGATGGGCGAGGTGCCCGTCAGTGCGGGCAACATACATACATCTGCGGCACCGAACCTCCATCGTCGGCTCGACGCGAACAAGGTCGTGCAACACTAGCTTGAGAACACGCGGCCCGACTGCATGGGGACGCCGGGGAACGGCCCCGGGCGGATCGTGCCAGAGGTCGAGCTCGACCGCTCGGCTTGCCGCCCAAGAGACAAACTTCAGGATCGCCTTGGCACGCTGGAGCTCCGACGAGAGGTACTCCGCGTGGGCAGACGACACGGCATGCGCTGCCGCCCCGAGCTTGGCGAACCAGTCGGCCCACAGATTCCCCACCCACCACCTGAGAGAGATCCCAAGGGAGAGGGCCTCCGGGGGGGCTCTTGTGGGCTGGGGCCCAGCTAAATCTATGGGGCTCTCTGGAACCTACCGCCCCGAAGCTGAGCCTCCAAATCCGAGCATGCTTGCCTCTGGAGCTCTCGAGGGCGGGGGCCCAGGACGAGCCCTCAGACACCAAACTGAACAGATCACTCACTATGTGCTGGGTGGCCGGCGCATGTTGGACGAGACGCAGCACTGACCACCTCTCTGCTCTGTCGACAGTCTGGATGCCTGGGAGAGGACCGTACATCGCGCGAGCTGGCAATAAGTTTTAATCGATCTGGACTGCAGACCACCCGCAGCGCGTCAATTCAGGCTGTGCCGACTCGAAGCCCGAGCCATCAGTACACGACTCAGGGCCCCACGCAGCAGCCTCGGCATCGCCCCAGAAGAAGGTCGGGAGCTCGTTCTCCGCGAGGAGGAGGAGGAGGAAGAGGAGGAAGAGGAGGAGGACGAGGAGGAGAAGGAGAAGGAGGATGAGGAGGGGGAGGAGGAGGAGGAAGGAGGAGGAGGAGGAGGAGGAGGAGGATGAGGAGGAGGAGGAGGAGGAAGAGGAGGATGCGGGGAGGAGAAGGAGAAGAGAAGGAGGGAGGGAGGAGGAGGAGGAGGAGGAGGAGGAGGAGGAGGAGGAGGAGGAGGAGGAGGAGAGGGGAGGAGGAGGAGGAGGAGAAGGAGGAGGGAGGAGGAGGAGGAGGAGGAGGAGGAGGAGGAGGAGGAAGAGCAGGACGATGATCGATGCTTGAGGATCGAGCGCTCTTGTGTCTTTTTGCCTCGCCGCGGGGGAGGGCGGAGCGGAGCGGAGCGGGCCCCCCGCTTCGCCCAGATGGAGCGGGCGCCAGCGGGCCCCGGGAGGGGGGCGGGCGCCAGGGGCGACGCCCGCGGCGCGCTTGCGGAGGGGGCATCTCTCGCTATCGCTCGGACGTCCATTCCGTGGGCTTTTTTCGGTTTCGTGCGCGGCTTTTTCGCCAAACGATCAAGGATGCTCTTCGAGGGTCCTCGCCGAAGGAAAAAGGCACACGTCCGAGCGATGCCGAGATCTGGTCTTCCGCTGAGTGCGCGATCTGGCTGGTTCTGCGCCGCCTGGGCGCCTGGATCCAGTTGTAAGGTCGTCGGCGATCCTCCTCCTCGCTCCTCCTCCTCCTCCTCCTCCTCCTCCTCCTCCTCCTCCTCCTCTCCTCCTCCCTCCTTCCTCTCTCCTCCTCCTCCTCCTCCTCCTCCTCCTCCTCCTCCTCCTCCTCCTCCTCCTCCTCCTCCTCCTCCTCCTCTCCTGCTCCTTGCTCCTCCTCTTCCTCCTCCTTCTCCTCTCCTCCCCCTCCTCCTCCTCCTCCTCGCTCCTCGCTCCTCTCGCTCACTCCTCCTCCTCCTCCTCCTCCTCCTCCTCCTCCTTCCTCCTCCTCCTCCTCCTCCCCTCCTCATCTCCTCCTCCTCCTCCTCCTCCTCCTCCTCCTCCTCGCTCCTCCTCGCTCCTCCTCGCTCCTCCTCGCTCCTTCATCCCAGGGGCGGGTGACACGATCAGACGGCGGAGAGCGTGGAGGGGGGGAGGGAGGGAGGGAGGGAGGGAGGGAGGGAGGGTGGAGGAGAGGGAGGGAAAGGACGAGGGATGATGAGGACAGGGGATACGGAAGTGGAGGAGGGGGAGGAGGAGAATGTGAGCAGACAAACTTGCCACTCAACTACGATACTAGCGTGTCCCAAACAGATCGGCGAACGACGGATGCGAAGCCAGGACATATGAGCGTTTGCCTTTGAGCATTGTGCACGAGCAGGCGAACCGTCCGGGCGATCCTTGTGCAGGGGCCCTGGGACACACACACACACATAAATACACATCAATAAAAGCATTCCCCATATTTTCCCACATTTTCATGGTTTTCGTCTTCCCCCCACTTCCCATATTTTCCCATCTTTGCCTGGGAGTCGACGATTAAATGTGTCTATGTGTTTCTTTCCCTCCTGATTCACATCCTCCTGGACTCCGCCTTGACAGACTCCTCCCGACAACAGCCCTTGGCATGAGGGACTCGGATCCTGAGGGAAACGGGTCCTGCACCCCGGGGCCTTCCCCCAGGTCGGGGGCGCGCAAACATGGATGAGCGATCCATAAATTTCGCGCGCGGTCACCAAATCCAGGGATCGGGGAAGGTGCCCTCCCCAAAATACGGCCGGTGCCACCTGCACCGGCCGTATTTTGGGCGGAGGAACGGTTTCGGTGGCAAGAACCCACGATTTCCCATAGAAACGGGACCCGTCGCTAATCCACGCCCCCTTGATCCATGCTTGCGATCACCTGACCAGGACGAGATTTTCATCCTGAAGGAGGAGGAGGAGGAGGAGGAGGAGGAGGAGGAGGAGGAGAAGGAGGATCGTTCTCTGGCGGTCCCCGGGTCCGTGGAGGGCCCCAGAGGCCCGAGAACGGCGAACAGACCTCAGGACCCGCTTCCCGCACGACCCGCTCGGCCGCCCCCCCCCATGGCGAAGCCCTCCCGCCTCTCCTGCCCAACCTGTGCATCGGGGATGGACAGACCTCCCTTTAGTAAAACGTGGTTTAGTGAAAACGACCTGAGGCCCAAACCTGGCGGGCGCAGGCCTGGGAAATAACGGCCACGGCGCCCTCTCGAGAACCGAAAACGGACAATTCACTAATCGACGTGTCACTGTTGGGGGTTCTGTCCACCCCCGAGTGCATCACCTCTGTATACTCGGGTCGGGCGAAAGGGGGGGATAGCAAAGGGGGGGGGGTGAGAATCAGCTCACGTAGCTGATTTTCCCGTCGCCTCCCGGCGCCGGGAGGCGGCTATGTATCGAGGAATGGGGCCCTCGGTGAGGCCAAAGCCAGCTGCATGCAGCAAATTTCGTACCCCCCCTTTCCCAATCCCCCCCTTTCGCCCGGCCCGATATACCCTTGGGTCGGGCATGTCTTCCCTCCTACAGGCGGATTTTGGACGAACAATTCGCTGGCCCAACATGCCAGAGGCGGGCTGAGATCTCCGGCAACTGGTTATAATAGTCTTCCAGTTCGCGCGCGTGCGTGGCGGCCCCTGGGGGCCCCCGGACGAAAAGTACCCCGAGCAGGTCCCGGCCAAGTGGGGCCCAGAGATGGTTTTCCTCCTCGGCGCTGCCTTCCAGGCTTTCCAGAGCACCCCAAGAACGCCCCAAGAGAGTCCCGAGACGCGCCCGAGACCGTCCGAAAGGCCCTGGGTCGCCGCAAGATCGTTCCAAGACGCCCAAGATGGCCTCCAGACGGCCCAAGCCGCCGCCAAGAAGCCCCAAGAGAGCCTCAAGAGGCCGTCCAAGAGAGTCTCAACAACCGAACATCGTCTCATTTCCTTACGAACAACGTGCATTTGTCACGTTTGCAACTCTTGGGGGTTCAGAGCGTCCAATACTGCCCAAGAGACCCCCCAAGACGGCCCAACAGGCCCCCAAGATGGGCCGAACACGGCCGAAGAGGGCCCCAAGACGGCCCAAGAGGCGCTCAGGACAGCCCAAGACAGCCCCAGGAGGGGACCAGGAGGCGCCCAAAACGGCCCAAGGGGCCCCCAAGACGGCCCAGGAGGCGCCCAAGAGGGGAACGCGATGCGAAAATCCGAGCCTTCAGCCCGAAAAAGGCCCCAATAGGCCCCAAGAGGCCCCCAAGAGGACCCCAGGAGGCCCCCAAGAGGCCCAACAACTGCACTCCAGACGCTCCCGAGAGAGCACAAACGGCCCCCAAGAGACCACAAGAGGCTTCAAAACTGCCTCCAAGAGACTCCCGAAACGACTGCCAAGAGACCCCAGCAGCGCCGCATTGACAACGATCCCTCGGGCAAACGGCAGAGATGAGGCTACATGAGCCGGCGGAATGAGCGAAGCGATGAAATAAAGGATATTCAAACAAACATTCAACACATACTGAAAAATGATAAACAACATCGTCCCCAGACTATCTTTTGACCATGTTTGAATGTTCCGCCTGTAGAGGGACAGGCCCGACTTAAATATACACCCCCTCCCCCCCCTCATTCCTGTGCCTCTTCGCTTCCCCCTCCGCCCTCGCCCTCTCTGGTCCCTGATCCCGCCGTGTTCCGCCCTCCCCTCCCTCTCTCCTTCTCCCTTCTCCGAGGCGGGGGCGGCTTGGGAAGGAGGACGACGACGGGGAGGAGGAGAGAAGAGGGATGAGGATGGCGGTGACGACGAGGAGCTAGATGAATGAAGATACTCCGAGCCAGCTCAGGATACGTCAACAATGAACAATGCCCGTCCCAGACTTCCCTCCTCATAGGCGTCCAGCATGGATCCCTTTGCTTTCCGCATCGGAAGCCCCCCCTTCGAAGACGAGCGCCCCATGGGCCTGACATTCAGAACATGCACCACCACCTGAATGGGAGTGCCCTGCATGCTTGTGGCGAGTCGTGTGAACAAGGCACGCGACCACGATACCCAAGGGACTGTCAAACGATGGTCGCACCTGGAAAGGAACAGCCCTCTACCCGTGCAGGCAGTGCACATTTAAACAAGGGTGGTCTTAGCATAAGTATGCGGACGTACTCCAGATTTCGTAATAAAGGGAGGGGGGTCTCATTTTGGGGGGGGGGTCTCTTCCAGGCTATCTTGGAGGGCCTGGGGGGTCTGGGGACGATGTTTTGGAGGGTTCTCCCACGGGGGAGGTCTGAAATGGCTTGTCTTGGAGGGTCCAGACCCCCTCCCATTTATTACGAAATCTGGAGTATGCGGACGTACCAAGCCCGGGCCCAAACTGGACGCAAATCACATCCTCCACCCGTGCGCAGGCAGATTCGAGCGATGCCCCGTGCGCGGACCAACGGTATGACCAACACGAGAACATTCCGCGAGCCTCGCGGCTCCGCCCCAACGATGCTTCCGAATCGCACCATGCTGGTCATCGTCGTCACCGACCGCCTCGTCCTCGTCGTCATCGACGTCACCGTTGACGTCCTCGTCATCCTTTTCGGCCGTCGCTCGCTCTCGAAGGTCGTCGTCCATCACCGAACCTTTGTCGTTCCTCGCGGGCCGTCCGTTGTCGACGACGTCTTCCGTTCTCACGCGCACCCAGGTCGACAGAGAGCGGCGCCAGCACGCAGCGTGCCCAGCCTCGCGCGAGGAGTGCCCGCGCGCTCCTGCACGCACCCGGAGCGCCCTGGGATCGGCGGCACTGGCCGCAAGCCCGTACAACAGCGTCCTTCGCCCGTGCAGCTGTTGCACGCTTTGAGCTCGGTGGCCCGTCGGTCGGAGGAAGTGGGCAGAACCATGCAGCAGGCAGGCGCTTGAACGTGGCTTGGGCGTACGCCCGCTCCCTGAAGAGGAGGGAGGAGGGACAGCCACTCGACCCTTGAAGCAGGAAGGCGCAGAATGGTGACCCGTCGGTGGGAAAAAGTGGGTCGAGCCACGGAGTGGGAAGGCGCTTGAAAGTGGACCGGGCTTCCGCCCGCTGCCTGCAGAGGAGGGAAGAGGGCCAACCGCTCGACTCTTGGAGTGGGAAGGCGTCGAATGGGATCTGTGTGCGGAGCATACAAACTTGGAGGGAGCAGCGGGTCAAATCACAGAAAACCCAACGCAATAACGAATTGGAGAAGCTACGCGCTGCAAGTTTTTAAGATGGGTGCGCTCGGGCTGCAACGAACACCGCATCTTGAGCACGGGCTGCTCGTTATCCGTGTAACTGCGGCAGACGATGAGGACGAACGTGCGCGGCACCAAGGCGAGAGCCACATCTGATCGACGCGTCTAGCGGCGTGGCCACGAATAATCCATGAAGGAGAACGTGGTGGCAATTACAGTCGGGGGCTTGACCTAAGGAACCCAAAATAAGGAACGAGGCCCCTTTTTCCCATGAGTTAAACTTCGATGTCCGATCGAAGACATAAGGAAAACCTGAGGCAAGCTGCGAAACACTTAAGGAACGCGGAGCCCCTCCCCAACGAAAAGGGTTCCTTCTTCAGGGCCCCGACTGTACACAACCTGGCGAAGGGAGGGTCCGTGGCCCCTCCCCTCTAGCCTCCCGCTCCCGAGGTGTCCCCCCCTTCCCCCCCGCCCGCCCGAGCGCGGTGGCGGAGTCGCGCGGCAGCCCAACTGGTGCAAAACATGTGTGGCGGATGAAGAGAGCGAGAGCTGCGATGTGTTCAGGCAGAGTCCTGCTATGGATGAGGAGCCACGCCCATCCGCGCCGCCGCTGGACGAATTTGAAGCTGGGACCTAGCGAGAACCCAGCTTTGAACCTGCGTTGCCTCTGCTGTCGAAGTGTCTCGGGCAGAATCTTAGGACATGCCCACTGATAACCCCAGGGAAAAAGGAGCCACGCCCAGTCCGAGAAGCTGTGTAGCACATCTTCAGCCGCTGAGCATGAACAAATCAAGTCGGAACCTCAGGCCACAATTCAATATCAAAAGCGATGCGCTCGCCTAGTTCTAGGACCAGCGCGTGCGGCGCCAAGGCGCGAAAGCGCAAGGCAGAAACGGAGAGAAACCGCGCACGCCTCGCTCCCCGTGTGAATGCTGGGGGGTCTTCAGCACGAGTGCGCAAAACGCCTCGCACGTGGCCGCGGGTCGCCTGGTCCTCAGAGCCGATCGAGCGCCCAAGCTCGACGCCGGAAGGAAGGACCTGATCGTCTCTGGCGGGATCGGTCCCTGGCGCTCGGCATTCAGGAAGCTGTGAAGCATGGAGGCGCCAGCAGGCACTCCTGCTGCCGCTTCTCCTCCTCCTCCTCCTCCTCCTCCTCCTCCTCCTCCTCTCCTCCTCCTCCTCCTCCTCCTCCTCCTCCTCCTCCTCCCCTCTCCTCCTCCTCCCCCTCCCCTGCCTCATGTAGCTGCTGCTCCTCGGCCTCAGGCACCTCCGATGCCACACCTTCTCGACGCGACCCTCCCATTTTATTACGACTTCTGCCTGGGGCTGCTTGCTGTCCCGCCGGGGTCGCCTTCGGTGAAGGGGGCCCGCGGAGGCGGGGAAGACGGCGAGCAGCCTGCACCTCGCCCGGATCTTGCTCAAGGCGTCTGTCTGTGGATCCGGGGAAGCCGAAGCTTGCTGCTGGTTTGTCGGCGGGGATGGTCGCGCGGCGGCCGTGGCGGACCCCGCCCGCCACAAAGCACGGTCGTGACCGCCGCGGCCGTCGTCGGGCGTCGTAATTATAGTCGCCGTCGCCGTCGCCGTCGACCCCGCCAGCGTCGTCGGCGTCATCGGCATGACTGAGGTGGCAAGAGGTACTGATATCGCTACTCTTAAGTCGGGCGTGTCCCCCTTCAGGGGGATTTTGGACGAACACTAACAAATACTCAAAAAATGGCCCGCCAATGGGCAAACATAGTCGAACAATCGTCCCAAGACTGCTTTTGTACTATTTTTGAATATTCCTCCTGTAGAGGGACAGGCCCGACTTAACGCTACTCCCCGGGCCTCTCCTCGAAGTGCAGTCTGACCAGAATTTCCAGGCAAGCCAAGCCATGGCGACGAAGACTCTCCAGGACGAGCAGCGGCACCGTTATCCCTTCCTCCTCTGATAAGAAGCATACGAACCGACCTCGCCTTCGACCACCCTCGCTTCCAAACGAGAGCAATTCCCGTGGGGCGACCCGCAACGGTCAGGCTGCCTGACGAGAAGGCGCGTGGTATGACTTGGATCTGCCTGGAAGCGAAAGCGAGGCAGGTACAGTGAAGGCCAGTCCACACGAAGCCTTCCGCAAGAAACCTGACCCTGCGATCCCACGACGTCCATTGGTGTTTGGTGTGGGAGCGTCACGCGTTGCATCGCAAAATCATCCAAACCCAAGACACCCAGGGCACCCTGGAGGCAAGCAGGGTGTTTCTTGGCATGGGTCTTTACCAGCCTGGAACATATCCCTATCCCTATGCTGGGCATCTCCTCCTCACGATGCCGATCTTAGGGATTCCCCTGTTTTTTGAGGGCGGACCCCTAAGTAAGATTGTCATCGCCTTGTGGCGTGCCGATCTCAGGGATAAGGATAAGTTCGAGGCTGGTAAGGTCTCCCCTGTCCGTCGCCCTGTGATCTGAAACGCCGCGCTTTCTTTGCAGTGCCAGGCCCTCCTCCTCCTCCTGATCCTCCTCCTCCTCCTCCTAACTCCTGATTTCCTCCTGATCCTCCTCCTGATCCTCCTCCTCTTCCTAGTCCTTCCTCCTCCTGCTCCTCCTCCTCCTCCTCCTCTTCCTAATCCTTCTCCTCCTCCTCCTCCTCCTCCTCCTCCTCCTCCTCCTCCTCCTCCTCCTCTTCCTAATCCTTCTCTTCCCCGTCGCCCTGTGATCTGAAACGCCGCGCTTTTTTTTTGCACTGCCGGGCCCGGCCGCGCGAGGCGGCCGCGGCGGAAGCCGGCGAGCGCCAGCCCGTGCGCCGTGACGCAGAGGCCCTGGTTGGCGGCGCGCACAAGGGGGGGTGGGGGGAGGGGAGGGCTTCTTAGAGCAGGCTGCCGCTCAGAAGGCGCCGGCCTTAGATCTATAGTTGAGGCCCGCGCCTTCTAAGAGGCAGGGCTGCTTCGAAGAAGCCCCTCCCCCTCCTCCCCCTCCTCCTCTTCTCCTCCTCCTCCTCCTCCTCCTCCTCCTCCTCCTCCTCTCCTCCTCCCTCCTCCTCCTCTCCTCCTCCCCCCTCCCCCACCCCCCCTCTGCGCGCCGTTGACCTGGGGCGTCAGCTCCGCGGCCCGGCCCGGCAGGTGCGCCGCGAGCGCCCGCAGCAGCGGCGCGTCCGCGAAGCGGAGCAGCCCGAGGGCGTAGACGACGCAGGAGAGGGCTTCGAGGGAGAGACGACGCGCGGGCCCCAGACCTCCGACGTCATGACTTTTTCATGACGTCGACCCCCAGAGATCTCGACCCATTCCCCGGGACCGATTTTTCATCCCGAGTCGTTTTTTGACGGTCCCGAGGGCCGGTGAGGGCCTCGAAAGGCCGACAAGTTAGGAAAAACCTCCCGTCATGATTTTTTCTTGTCTCGAGGGGGTCTGGGCATTTGGAATGCCCAGACGGATACTCTTCGAGTCTTCCTGCGTGCAGCGTGCAGCGAGGCCAGCGGGCCTCGCCGACGAGGTTCTCGAAAGGCCGACAAGTTAGGAAAACCCTACCATCATGATCTTTTTCATTGCCCGAGGGGGTCCGGGGCAGAGGCACCCAGAGCTCCGCGCGGACTCCTCGGAGGGGCGCCCCTGACCTTCCAGCGAGCTGTTCTTCAGCACCGGAGGCCTAAACACCTAAAAAACTGAACGAAACAGCCTAAAACCAAGACGCAGAATAGCTCTGGGATAGGTCTTTAGGTCGGGTGCTATTCTGTTAGCCCTCCTGGAAGGTCAGGGGCTGGGCCCCCCCCGGGCGGCGCCCCTGGCGCCGCGCCCGGCGCGCTCCGCGGCGGGGGGGGAGGGGGGCAGCGCAGACCCCGGAAGTCCGCGCGGAGAGCTCCAGCAGCCTGTGCTCGCGCAGTCTTCTGCCCTTCGAGAGGTGCTGCTCCGAGAACTCGCCCAGGCGCCCACCTGCATAGGTGAGGCTTCGCTCGGGCTGGGCACAGAGAGCCCCCCCAGCAGAACGACCTACAGTTACGGGGGAGGAGGCATGGGCGCGAGATGCCGCACCCCGAGGGGGGGGCTCCCACTCGAGCGGGGAGCCCCGTCCGACAACCCCCCTCTCCGGCCCCACCTCCGAGCTTCCCCCCCCGAGGAGTCTGTCAGCTCGTGCGAGGTAGCCCCGGCGGGCCTCAACAGGCGCCTCGAGCCCTGGCGCCACCTTCGGCGGTGCTCCCGGGGCGCTCCGCGCCCCAACGTTTGGGTGTTGACCGCCCCAGGCTGCTCGGGGAGCTGTGGAGGCCCACCGGGACTACCTGCGTGGGCGGGCTGTCTGTGCGCAGCCCGAAGCCACATCTCTGGCGAGGTGATTTTTTCAATCCAGGCGTTTTTCCTCTATTTGGCCGTCCAGGGCCCGTTATCGGGCCCTCGCACGATCAAAAACGGCTCTGGGACGCAAAACTTGCCTTGGGGAAGGGGTCGAGACCTCTGACACCGAGCATAGGAAAAATCATAGCTGATCCCCATGCCCACTGGCAGGGCCTTGGTCCAACTGACCGACTTACCCCTTTTAGGTGGGGACATATGATCCCGGGTCGAGGGTTCACAGCCCCCTCCACAGATGGTATGGGTCCCAGGGTTCCACAGCCCCCCCCGAGACGGGATGGGGGAGGGGACGACGACGACGACGACGACGACGCTGGCGACGCTGGCAACGGCGACGACGCTGGCGACGCTGGTGACGACGACGCTGGCGACGAAGACGACGACGACGACGACGACGACGACGACGACGACGACGACGACGCTGGCGACGCTGGTGACGACGACGACGACGACGACGGCCCCGCAGCACTGCCGGGGGGGGACGATCACAGGGGGGGGGACGGGGCCGATCCCATCTGCGAGGCCTTCGCGAGGCTCACGGGCGTACCCATCCAGCGGGAGGGGGGCGGTGGCGGCGATCCGATTAGCATTGGGGGCCAGGTGGGGGGGGGCGGAGCCCTGGATCATACAATGCTGTTCCCTTCTGGTTTCGCGGGGCCTATCCCCACCTGGGGGGATGGGCCTGCGGGGCTGTGCTACCATGGCCCACTGGGGATGGGGATAGGCTCAACGTTGCGAGCTGGCTGGGCCGATGGGGCTGTACTGGGGTTTGAAAGTGCCTTCTGCCTGCGCATACGGCGCAACCCTGTTTGCAATGGCCCTCACCGGGCCCCAGGGCCGTCAAAAAAACAGCTCGAGACGAAAAGCCGCCTACCTCGCTGGGGTGTTCGCGCTGCGCCTCCCCCGCAAGCGTCGCTGACGATCTGGCCTCGTCGTCGCCAAGCCGCCGTCGCCGCCGTCTTGGTCGTCACCGCTGTCGTTGTCGCTGTCGCCGTCGTCGTCGCCGCAATCGTCGGCGGCCGCAACGGATCGATGGTCGAGGTTTTGGGATGTGTACGTCTTGTCCTGTTGCCTCTGGAGGCCTTCAGGGACTCCCGGAAGCCTCCAGAGGCCCCCCTGTGAGGACGCACGAGGGTGGTGCTGTGCTCGAGGCGGACGACAAAGGGGAACGGCAAAAAGGGGGGGTGGGGAATCAGCTGCGGGCATACGCCCCCCCTCTCGCAACCCCCTTTGATCCTCCCCGATGCTCTTCTAGAGAACCGAACAACGACCCTCGCAAACCTGAGGCGGCAAGTTCACGTGGCGACGACGTCGGCGCTGGTTTTCTGACACCGCGTGAATCGTTCATCCTTGACGGACCGCGGCTTTCCGATGCCGCAGACCTTTCCATGTCAGCAGCTTCTGGGACACAGACAGAATTCGGCCTTTGCACGCCCGCGCTGGGGTCGATGTCGCGTCAACGCGGACCACGAGTTGTTGAAGCAGGCGTCGGGGTGGCCTGGAGGGATTTGATCGCACGGGGTGGAATCGGTACGCGCGGGGGAGCGCGTGGGGGGGGGGGGGGGGGCGTCGCGAAGAGGGTAGCTGCGTTGTGCGCGGAGGTGAGGGGGGGGGGCTGGGAATGGGCTGCTCTTTCGCTGGGCGTGGGGGGTGCGGGTGCCCACGAAATAGCTTGGAGCCGGTGGCGGGCCCAAGGAAGTGGCGTGAGAGGGGGGGCGGGCTCCTGAGAAGGCAAGAGGAGGAGGAGGAGGAGGAGGAGGAGGAGGAGAAGGAGAGAGGAGGAGGTGGAGGAGGAGGAGGAGGAGGAGGTGGGAGGGAGGGGAGGGAGGGAGAGGGGAGGAGGGAGGAGGGAGGAGGAGGAGGGAGGAGGAGGGGGGGGGAGGAGGGGGGGAGGAGGGGGGAGGGAGGAGGGGGGAGGAGGGGGGGAGGAGGAGGAGTAGGAGGAGGAGGAGGAGGAGGAGGAGGAGGAGGAGGAGGAGGGGGAGGAGGGGGAGGAGGAGGAGGAGGAGGAGGGGAGGAGGAGGAGGAGGAGGAGGAGGAGGAGGAGGAGAGGAGGAGGAGGAGGAGAGGAGGAGGAGGAGGGGCATCCTTAGGGGCGCTCCCTGCCGTCTAGAAGGCGCCCCCCTCCCCTCGCGCCACCCCCTTTGTGCGCGCAGCCGATGGAACAAACCTTCCGAGTGCTTGCGCTGATGACGACGTCCAGGGAAACAAAAATAACTAGGCGCGCGTCCAAGGATTCCCGTCATACATATATAGAAACATGGACACACATATACACACACATATATATACATGTCAAAAACAATCGGATGTGCATGTACATATGTATTTACGTGTGCCTATATATATATATGTATGTTGTACGATGTGTGTTCTGGATTGTGGTCTTTACCACCACTCCCCACATTTCACCATCTGCTCCTGGACATCGACGCTCCTTTGTGCCTGTGTCTATGTGTCCCTCCAGACGTGTGTCGACGCGGATCTTGTGTTGTCGTTGTCGTCGGTATCGCTGCTGTCGGTGTTGTCGTTATCGTTCGTATTGTCGTGATCCTTGCTATGGTTGTGATCGCTATCGTTGTCGCTGTTATCGTTGTTATCGGCGTCGGCGCCAAACCCCCTATCCCTGCACAGCTGGCGGCGCCGACGCAGGAACGCATTCTGCGTGCCAAGGGAAAGGGGGGCGGAGAGCGAGGGGTCCTGCGCCGCCGATCCAACAATGCCCGCGCGGATCTCCGCGAGCGAGTTGCAGGCGCACGAAACAAGAGTTGGCGGTGAGCGAGGGGGAAGTTATATAGAGAAGGCCTTCTCAGAAAGCGGCGGGGCTTCTCGGAAGCCCCTCGCGCCTTCTGAGAAGTCCCTCCACCCCTTAAGGGCGTAGGTGGTCTGGGGTGCTTTGTCTTCCATCTGCCCCTCTTCCCCTTCGGGGAGGCGTTTTATCACTGCTCCCTATCGGTATAAACCCCTTTCCCCCACCCGGCCGGCGGCCAACCCGGAATCATGCCAACCCCATGAGGGCCACCCCCCCACCATCCCTGTCAAAAAAATACAAAACGCACGCTGCCTTCACATTTCGAGTATGCGCAGCCGCCCCGCGACCATTTTGTATGGGTATTTTACAAGGACGGCTGGGGTGCCAGTAGATCCCACCTGCCTTCTGGGCGCAGGTGGTCGACCGACTGGTGCGACACATCAGTGGCTGCTGCCTTTTCGCCTTACCGTTTCCGATGTGATTTCGGAACCTCCGCATGGCTCCAAAATTGGCCAAGAAAGCTCAAAGCCGGGCCCAAGAGCCCATATTTCTTCCCAGAGGCTGGCGCACCTGACGCGGCTGGAGCACGTGGAACACTGGGCGCACGTGGAGCACGTGCCGCACCTGGCGCGCCTGGCACGCTTGGGGCTCCAAGGTCTGGTGCGTCTGGAACCCGTGGCGTCTGCGGCGTTCTTACGCGATATGCTGACTCCCGGGTGTTACGTATGTCCCAGACCCCCGACGTAATGATTTTTTCATTGCGTCGACCCCCAGAGGTCCCGACCCTTTCCCCATGACCGGCTTTGCATCCTGAGTCGTTTTTTGACGCTCCCGAGGCCTGGTGAGGGCCCCCGGAGGCCGAAAATAAAGGAAAACCTATGATTTTGTCACTACTCGAGGGGGTCTGGGGTGTTGGGAGGGCGGGTGGGAGTGAGCACGACGGCTTGCGTGCGGGTGGGAAGCTTGGCCCCTCCCCCTACCCCCTTCCCTGGACCCGGACGTGGGGTCCCACGAGACGGTGGAGCGCCCAAGGTGGCCCAAGATGGCTCCAAGAACGCCTCGGAGAGCCCAAGATGAGCTCCAAGATGGCTCAAGACATCCCAAGATGGTTCCCAAGATGGCTCCCAAGATGTTCCAAGAGGCCCCAAGATCGCTCCAAGACGGTTCCACATGACTAAAGAGCTCCCCAGGGAGGCCCCAAAGAGGCCGTAATGCTTCCCAAACCTACGGGAACTTAATGTTCTTTGCTTTGGCGCCTTTTCGCTTCCGATGGCCTTCCGAGGCCTCAAGATGGCTCCAAGAGGGCACAAGAGGGCCCCACGAGAGGCACAGGAGAGCCCCAAGACGGCCCCCAGAGCGCCCAAGAGCGCTCCAAGAGCGCCACAAGAGGGGCGCACGAGCCGATTTTAGACACTCTAGAATGGCGAGGCTAAGTAAGGACCCGCCCCTTTTTGACCGATGTCCTCCAATATGGCCCGAAGAGCGCTCCCAAGGCACCCAAGAGTGCCCCAAGAGTGCCCCAAGAGGCGCCCAGGCGGCCCCAAGAGGCCTCCAAGAGCCGTCTCGGTTTCTGGACGTTCCCGACGGCTTTTCTAATTCAGCCGCGTATCTTTGCATTATATCACGTGTTAAGTGTGTTTTCTTTATTGTGTCGCCCATTTCTTTTCAACGGTATATATATATATATGTTTGTTTGTTTATTTGGTTAGTCTCATCCTTTTTGGCTCAATGTTTCGCTAATGTTCTGCCCCCGCCGTGAGCGGGCGATCGCTCTTTACCCAGACTAATCAGAAAGCACGCAGTGGTTCTAGCGAACTACTCCCAGAGCGTCACT